TTCAAGGGAAGCAAGGATCTCTATATAAAGGTTTTGGTGACTTTATCATTATTGGTCTTTATGCTGTTCCCACGAACAATGAAAATTTAATAATAAATCTAGATTTTTATGCAGAAAGTGATCATCACCTATCCTAGATAAAATAAAAAAAAAAAAAGGTGGGCTTTTGAATATGCTGATTTCTGATTTTTAAGTCAATAGCCTGTCCTTTCTCATATTCATGTGGCTGACGCACCTGAATAAGAAGCTACTGTAGGGAAGCTGTACAAAAATTATGGTAACACAAAGAAAGGTACAAAATGTATTTTCTGTCCTCTTGGATGGTCTTCAGGAAAGACAGGACTGATTTCTGATTTTTAAGTCAATAGCCTGTCCTTTCTCATATTCATGTGGCTGACGCACCTGAATAAGAAGCTACTGTAGGGAAGCTGTACAAAAATTATGGTAACACAAAGAAAGGTACAAAATGTATTTTCTGTCCTCTTGGATGGTCTTCAGGAAAGACAGGAGACTAAAAGAAATTCTGTACTGTAGGCAAACCAAAAGCCAAAAACCAGTAGGCAATAAACAAAGAACACGTGCTCTGAAATTGTCCAGGCACAGTAACCAGCTAAATGAACAATGATGTGCCCGAGGTGGTATGGATTGAAGAACTTCCTTTTGTGTTACTGTGTCTGTATTTCTGCTTGCAAATTTAAATCAGCCACAGTTGTCTACTCTTTTTCTTTCAAGAAGTTGCAAAGGTATTAAAGTTGAATTTTGGAAAGACTCAGAATTTCTCATGCATTCAGATTTGATTATGTAAGAGGAAAGCAGACATTTGTCAAACAACTATACTACTCCCAATGCATTTCATTAAATACCCAATATAGATTCTATGAAACACTCATCACTTACCCCTTGAACTGCATGTCTGTTTCCAAGACTGGATATTTTCCCCTTGTTTTCTTTCTTTATTCCATTTCCAAGTTTAATAACATTGCAATTACAAATCAAGAATATTTTGTGACTTGTGGCAAACCATCTTTAACCATCATTTACAGAGGTCTTACCCTACAAAAGAGGCTTCAATGTTTTATTAATGATTACTTTGGAAAACATTTTTACATTTTAATTAAAAAATAGTAGTATCTCTTATTAATGGCAGAGGGTTGTTGGTTTGGAGGGGGAATGGGGTTGCCCCAAGAACAGAAAAGCTTGAGATAGCCATCTATCCATGTGGCTTTGTACATTCTGTCTCCTTTGTATAGTGTTTTAAGGATCCCAAAATGGGATCATAGCTTAGAATATAAACCGATGAGTTACAAAAATAACATTAAACATTTTGCTTTATTTTACTTAAAGTATTTTGCTTCCCTCAGTAACACAGATCTGCAGACTGTGCTCAGAAATATCCCTCAAAAAGGCCTGCAAAGCTCTCCAGAGTAAATCAGATCTTTGTTTTGTTTCTTAAGTGATCAGTTTCATGTCCTGTCTTCTAATTAATGAAGAACTGCTAGGAAACCCACAGCTAGCTCAGCCACACAAGTCTTAATAGTCATATGTGATTGCTTCAGAATTAGTTCTTTTACTTGAATATCTTCTCCATGTTTCATTCTTTGACAAGAACTAGATACCTGGTGCCTTTCAAAATAATTCAAACTTATTTTCCATTATTGTTTCTTTCAATGATGATGATAAGGTAAATCTGGTTCAACACCTCTCAGCAATATTTCACTGCTTGGATTGTAAGAAGGGGCAAGGGCATGGCAGGTAGTAGAAGGTGGGAGGGGTACAACAGGCAGGAAGGCCCTCTATTGCCAGGCTCACTGCTCCTGCTCCTTGGGGAAACAAAAATACCAAGGGCCAGTTCCATGCTGGGGTTCCAGCAGCCCTACCTGCATGCACCAGCACCAGCTGCAGCAGCTCTCTGTGCAGACCAGGGTCTGCAATGGCCCAGCCCTTCCTGCCCCGCTCAGCAGCTCCCAAGTCACTTCCTTCTCCAGATTTAGCCTAGAGCCTCTTCTGAAGTAAAACCTGTTATAACATGTATTGTAGAAAAATACTGTATTAACATTAGAAACATTATTGATTTGCATAACAAAAAATAATACACTTGCCTGGCTTTGGTCTTAGCAGCATGGCGACAACTTTTGTTTAAGGAATAAATTTTTATTTAAATTCCAGTGAAAGTACATTTCTTTATGCTACACTCATTAGCTATAGCTAATCCAATTCCTAACCTGAATAAACAAAGTTAAGTTAGTATTAAAGTTTTAAAAGTAATTCTGACTGTGCTTTCAGGAAGGTGGAAATGGTATTAGAGTTGGTCAGAATAAAATTAACACAAAATTGGCAAAAAATAAATAATGGCACTTCATAACATTTTCAAAAGTGTTTCATTTAACTTCCAAATCACCAGCTACTATCTACATGATAAATATATGTGTGGTCTTGTGTGTGGACAAGAGAAAGATACAAGGATGATACAAAGATACAAAGAAACAGAAAGCTGTCACAATAAAAGATGAACAAATCAATTTTCAGCCACGCAGTAGTTTGCTGAGAATATTAAAATCTGCCTGCTTTTATTTTAGTTCATTTCTGTGGGCAACCTTTTAACAGCATGCAAGAATAATGAAGGAGAAGCTTTTGATCCATCCATCCTTTAAGTACACTTTTTAAAATTTCCTAATGAGAAATTGTCTGATTTAAAAATCAGCATCCATAACATTGCATCCAGAATTTTGTAGCCAGCAATGATTAGAGGCATTTGATAGCAGCCTCCATCAGTGTGTCAAGGCAGAACTGCCAGCGTGCAGCAAAACACCACTTCAGCCACCATCTCCAGCAATCTGTAACTACAGATCAGAATACAGGGCTGATGGCCTCTTAAAACAACAGGCCATAGCTGGCAAGTAAATTTAAAAATGGGAAAGCTATTGGAAAATAAATGTGTCTTACTGAAAATACATTCCATGCTGAACACAAAGTGAAATATCTCATCTGCTGTTTAAGAAGTGGTATTTAATGAACTGTTTCATTCCATTCAACTATTCAAGGCAAACAGTGGTCAGTATTGATAGGACAGATATTTCACCATTTTCATTGCCTGAACTGTAGGAAGCATCCCAGCAATAAGCAATCTAGAACAAGCAGATTTCAGTAGCTGTACCATCAGATAAAGTATTTTGATTTTGTATATTGATATGGCTAAATACATATAATATATATGAGTCAGCTGTAAAGATTCATAGCCTCAGTCATAAGAGATGTCACTCAAGTATTGTCTTTTAAAATACACTTAATTTTTTTTGGCCTATTATATTTCTCTAGGTTGTTAATCTCATGACATATATTTGGTGGTGATTTACTGTTTCTTGTACATGATATAAACACTATTTTTTTGTAATGTATGTACAGAACGTTAAAATTCAGGCACAGGTTGTCATAAAGAATGCATGTTGCTTGTTGGACCCTAATATTGAAATTTTGGCATAACAATTCAGAAACAGGACAACGTTAAATCCACAGCTCTTAGTAAAAATCTTTGCTAAAGGCATCACTGAAGAACATAATGCAACTCTTCTCTCTCAATTACATTTATGAGTTTGTAACAAATGCATTATTATTTGGCCCACTTGAAAGAAGAACATGAGAAAGCAGGTGTTCAGAGAGTCCTTCAAGAGTGAGAAAATTATTTTTCTGAAAGCAGACCAGGACAGATAAGATTACCAGTAAAGTACAGATTGATGTAGAATTGCATCACTTAAGAAGTTGGACTGTTTCAAATTTAGTTCTTATAATATTTGCGTTGCTTTTAAAAATAAACACATTTATAAAACTAAACTTTTTGTAGCAGTAGATAGCAATGCTTAAAGTAATATTAACAATATTTTCCCTGTTTGGAATTACTTAGGCTATTTCCAGGCTGAGGTATGCATAAACAGCATACAGTGTTGAGTATGCTTCCAAACCAAGTCATCTTTTCCCTAATTCTCAGAGCAAAAGTTTTTGCTGTTACATCTGCCTGGACAGTAGGTGCAAGATCTTTACTAAAATGGCCTGTTCTGTGGAAGGCAGAGCAGAGCAGGCATCACTGTTCTACTAGTGATATCATCTGAAATAAAAGACAGATTGACCCATTTATGTAGTTATGTTCCTCATGTATCTACAAATTGACCCAGTGAAATATTTCAGTTGATGTTAAGTGATGTAAAGCTGTGAGTTTTTCAAATAGAATAATACCATGCAACTCTAAAACTTTTCCTGTATCATTTTCTCTCTAATCTTTTTTTCAAATCTGACTTCTGAAGTTAATATATCAAGATACAACAAATAACCAAAATAGCTCAAAGATGCCAGTTACACTTTTATCAAAGTAAGAAATCTAATTAAGAAGAAATATTTGATCACTAATTGAAGTAACAGTATCTTTATCTCCATATGTATATACTATATTATCCACATCAAATAGCATGCTGAATTTCTTACCTGTGCTTGCCTTTTTTGCATAATTTTTTCATATCATTAACACATGCAGCTCTTGATTACAAAACCCCACCTTCCTCATACAGATCTTTTTACTTCAGCAAAGCCACGCTGCATTTTTAATCACTCTTCATCCTTTCCAAAAGCTCCAAATACTTTGCCCCTTTCAAATAATAACACATGCACCTACAGTTCCAGTTTGGTAGGAACTATAAAAATGCAGACAGTGGTAGAAGGCATGTATTAATATTATTTCATTATTGATCACTTCTCATATTAATGAATATATTATAGGCCATGGTCTGAAGTGAATGTTACGGTTCTCCAAGACTACAGCCTAAAAAGATAAAACAGCAGATAAAATACAAAATCCAACTTGAAGTGTTTAAAAAAAACACATCCCCTTTTTACATGTCTCAGGAAGAGGGGGGAGGGAGTGTTTTAAATCTGGTTTTTGTGCAGAGTTTCTCCTCTGGATGGACTTCTATTTATTTTGCTTTTCTTTCCCTCCCTCCCCTGCTATCTTGCAGCAAACGTGTGTGACAATGAGCTACTGCATTGCCAGAACGGGGGAACTTGCATCAACAATGTGCGATGCCAGTGCCCTCCGGCTTACACTGGCATTTTGTGCGAGAAGCTGAAGTGTGAAAGGGATCCAGGTGGCTGCAGCCAGAGCTCTGGCCAGGGGGCAATATCACACAGGCCGCTATTACTGCTGACTGCTCTACTAGGAGCAACTGGTCTTCACATATGCTAGACTCAGGATGGCTGATGGCATCACATTCAGACTGCTTCAAATGAACATGCCACATGGAAACAAAACAAAATCCAAGCGTATGCTACCGAAATCTGAAAAGGAAAAACAAGAAGAACTCACCCCATACAAACTAATGCCTAACTGAACTAAGCCATATTAATCAGTTATGGACAGGGCTCTGAGTCAAGACTGTTCAACTCTGACTCCAGACATGCTGGCAGCCATCAAGTCTGTCTGATCAGCATGAGCTGCAAAGCTCACACAGGACTGGAACAGCTTTGACAGCCCCAGAATGGGAAGAGATTTAAATAAAACATTTGCTACTCCTCTATGGCGTGTGACCGTAGCTCCGCCCGGGATGTGGACAGACCAAATAAAGGCATTCTTTGCTGTCAGTGCATTGTGGGTATAAGGAAATCTGTAAAAGCTGCCATATTGGCCTGCTTCAGTCCCTGAATCCTTTCCAACCTGTGCTTTAGTGAACGTTGCTCTGTAACCCTTGTTGGTTGAAAGATTTCTTTGTCTGATGTTAGTGATGCACATGTGTAACAGCCCCCTCGATAAAACTCAAGCCAGTCATATCCTTGTATACCTTAGCAGCACGGCATCAGTAAGATGCTGTGCTCACCTCCTGTACAAGAGTGGCTATAGGACAAAAAGTGTATTTATCCTTTTGTATTCAAATGAAGTTATTTTTCTTGAAATAATGTATAATGTAGATTTTTTGTATTATTGCCTATTTGTGTTACCAGACAATTTGTTATTGTATTTAATTCTAACCAGATAAGAGAAAAATATTACTTTTTATTTAGTTCTTTTGTTTTTCCTTTCATTTAATTGTGCAGAGATTTCTCTTTATGAGCAACGTGCTGGCATCAAAGAATATCAGTTTACATATATAACAAGTGTAATAAGATTCCACCAAAGGACATTCTAAATGTTTTCTTGTTGCTTTAACACTGGAAGATTTCAAAGAATAAAAATTCCTGCATAAACAGTCCCAGGATGATGTAGTGCTGTTTCTTAAGGCCTTTGTAGAAAACAAACAAACGACAAAAAAATTTGATCATTTAACCACCTAGTATGTGGCAGAAAAATATTCAACAGTGGAAATTACATCATAACAATCTAACCTGGTTTTATTTTTACTACTGTCATTATTTTTGCAAACAATTTTAAATGTAAAGAGCATCAATTGTTTGAGGAACGATTCACCAAGTCTCAGGTTTTGAAAAGATATGAAAAGGTGAATAGTTCTCATCTTTGTTCTCTCAATTCATCATAAAAATTATTCCAAGACTAATTTACAAGGTATTACAGAAGCTAGTGTTTAATTCATACCTTTTTTGTGGATTCTGGCAGTAATAAGGTAGATACAGCCACAGCTTATATTGTTCCTCCAAAAGCTTCATTAAAATATGTTTATATATGTACTACTCTGCCTAAAAAATCTGCAAAAACAGCAACAATCACCAAAAATAAGCCAAGATTTAACTTTTAAATATAGTCAAATTTAATATTTAGAAGGAATGTCAAAATATACAGCAGCAAGTAGATAAAAAGTGCTGCTCCAGCAAATAAAGTTTGTTTAAAGTATTGCCCAAGGTGTAATAAATTCTTGTTTCTGCCTTTTATTAGGCCAATTACTGAGTGTGACAGAAAAAGGATAGCAAGAATAGAGAGACAAGCCAAAACCACAGCAGTGTTTCAAAGTCCTGGGAAAAAAAAAATACAATCAAAAGCTAGCAACACTGTGAATTAATTTCCTGGCAATTTTCGTCATAATGGCCATGAATATTTTACCAACATAATAGCCTAGTATGGAAAACAATTAATCAGCAACAGAAAAATTCCTGAGAGAAATAAATTCTACCTGGCTCCCTGTTCCAAATGTTGAGCAGAGCGGAATTTAGGGCACTGCCTTCTTGGGTAAGCTCTTTGTGCTGAGGAAGCAAGTTTTGCAAGCCAGGACTCAGCCTCCAGAAACAGGTAGGCAAATAGGTCTTGATTTCTAAAAGAATCCTATGAAGATTGTGAAGATGAAGACAACAAGTTGGTGCTTGTTCAGGCTGTCACCTTGGCCCTTCCTGTAGAACATTTGCAATTCACACTGGCTCTCTCTTCAGGTGGGCTAAATAAGATAGGGCAAAGATAAATTAAATGCTTGGCAGGTTGCCAGCCACCACCTACATGAGATTGCAAGCAGAAGGATGTTCACAACAACAAACAAAATTATATTGCAGGCACAATGAGGAATATAAATGGTAATACAGGTGACATGTAGAGCTGGAGATTAATTATAATTAAGTGGATTTCTTATATTAAAATGTGGAATTTAAATTGTCTTAAAGCTTATTAACACAGACCAAATTCAGATTGTGTAATTACTGGAAAAGATGCATTTTAATTGTCATTATAAACTCAAGACTTTGTGAAAGTGGTAAGAAGCACGTTGTGCACGTTTGGTTAGAAGGGATTCTGCCAGCACTACTAAAGTATAATAAATATCTGAGCATAATCCATTCAGCTGCATTCCAATTTCATATACTTATGATGTTCTAAACCAGGGTGGAGTATATGGCTTTACACACACTTAGCTACCATTTCATGCATTTTATCCTCCCTTACCTATTAATAAAATTACAATTATATACAGGAGTACATTCAGTGGAAAGTTTTCTTATCCATCATCCTTTTCTTTAGCTTCATTATTTTTCCTCTGAACCTCACAGAACTTCACTAACTATTGTCCTACTTATTCCAAGTATATGTGTAAAATTATGTGTGCACCTTTGAGAGAGGAGGAGATACATCACTCAGCTTTGCTTTACAGTCGAAAATTAAGGCAGAACCTGTTCCTCATTTCAGAAGCTGTGAAGAACAACAGATTCCTTTCCCTGAAGATATGGTAGGATCTTTTCATGATAATGTGTAGGCACAGTATCTGCTTATTTTTTCACTTGAAAATTGACACCCCTTCCAACATACTTTAGGTTTCCTGGAGTGGGTATCTTGTCCCTGTGAATGCCTGTAAAATAGCAAACATACACATGAAAAAAGAAGTAAGAGCAACACTATCACAAGCTTAGGATTTTGGTTCTGAATCAAAACACAGGAAAAGAAATCTACTGCTGAATTCTTATTTCCTGTGTGATATTCTTCCTATTCTTCTTTCATAGAAGGTCCAGCATCCAAAAACTGACCAGGCTTCACATCATTTAGTTGTCCAGATGATAGTTCAGAACACAGTGACCTTAAATGTATCATACATAATTAAATTTATGCAGTTTTATTAGTTCCAGTTGTTTTGCTAAATAAGTCAGTCTTAGTCATCTTGCAATTCCTGTGTTTCTAACTATAGCATTGGTTCTTCTCCAGGATCCACGTGTGTAACATCTGAAAATGGGGCAGCTTATGACAAGGTGCTACTACTCCCTGACAAGGGAGCTGCAGAAATTTCCACTTCAACCTGGCCATCTTTCTCAAAGGGACATTAAGAGAGAGGTATCTTAATGCTGCACAACTGTTTCAAAAACAAACTATCCTAAGGGAAAATAATCCAGACAGAGCAAATTGACCCCTATCTAATACTTTTTCATGACTGAGCCACAGATAAAGAAAATTATTTAATGTAGTGAACAGAATAAAAAATAATGTGCAAAAAAACTCCTCAAATTAAGAAAGAGCTCTTCTGCTTACATATAATTTTACACATCTCTCTCATAACTCCAAGATGCCACGGGGATTTGTTCTAACCTCACTAGGATTCTAGGTTTATTAAACCATTGAATTAAATAGATTCATCCATGCATGTGGTTTATTCACCTGTGAGAAATTTGAGTAATATTTTTCATAGAATATTCAAGACCAGATTTTCATCCAGTCTTCAGCCCAGCCTTCATGTTTGTCCTTGCAAATGCAAAGTTACGATGTAAATATTAAGGCAGAGTCAATCAATTCATTCCTAAGAAAGACTAAGTTTAATTATTTATGGATGCAAACATTTGTCCATCAAAATGCAGATCTGACATTATAAATCAGAATTTTTATATTAACTAATTTAGTACCTTTCCCACCATCACACAGTTTCAGAAAGAAAAGGATGGAAGAAGCATATGCAAAATAAACAAACAGAACAGCAGCATTTTGCACCATATGGTGCATTTCATTTAATGAAAGGAAAGTTCATCACAAGTACAGTATGTTCACCAAGACACCATTTTTGCCACAATATGCAATAGATAAAATTCCAGTACAAAACGTATGTTTCCCTTCATTGTTTTTCTGGCTATCATTATCTACACAGACCCAAATGTATTCATTATAAAACACTGCTCAAGAATTTTAAAGCCTCAAAGAACACAGAGATGACTAATGTTATACAATCTGTAGATCTAAACAGATTGTAAGGTCTCAGGGTTGAATTCCTGCGTACATTGCTAGCTAACATTCATTTCTGAGAAGGACCTGGATAATGATCACATCGTGGAAGAGCACTGAATCACAGTTCCATATCAGTCAGTAGAACCAAAGTGACAGCCAAGAGACAGAAAGCACAACAGGATGGTGTTAGTCCTGCAGCTGTCAGCACACCCAGGCATCACTCCTCCAGCAAGACTTGCAAAAGCAAGTGTTTACAGATGTGCATGTTCTGGCTACAGTTGCTACGCTGCTTAGAAACCCCCTGCTTACACAATGCTGCTCAACGGAGCTGCTGTACACATGGTCAAGGGTACTGCTGTCACTGGAAAAACAGCTTTTGTACTAGATGGGAGCCGTTGTTGAGAAATTGAAGTATTAACAGCTTGTTTTGAGGGGAAAAAAGGGTTGAGAGTGGGTTTGGGGGCCATTGCATGTTTGTTTTGAGAAAATGAAACTGGTTTGGGATGAGTATTTTCTGTTCCTCACATCAGTACTTCATTTGAGTAGCCTGCCTAGGTCTTTGTGACATCTGAAAAATAAATTACTGATCTGGTAATTCTGACATTATATGATATTAA